CGAGCCGTCCATTAACACCTATGGATTGCCAGATCCCCGGGGAGGCATGTCTGCCCAGGCAGAGTGGAAAATCCCTGGCTGCGGGGAAGGGCCGTGGAAATTTCTTCTTAACATTCTCCTTACAGACATGGACTTGTCCCAGAAAGCAGTGAAGCATTTGCCCGGCGACCTGCAAGGCAGCTCTGTTCTTCCTCCCGCCCCCACCCCACCCTAGGCTTGAACCCAGGGAGCAGCGATAGGGCGGGGCTCGGGAAAAGCAGCGGAGGCAGCACCTGGCGGCTGAGCTCTGCCCCAAGATCTCTTGGTGTCATCCAGTCCCACCCCCTCGGTTCAAAGATAAAGAGACAAGGTCAGGGGCAAAATCATACTAGATTGCAGGTTTCCTCTCTCCAGTTTAAGTTCCTTCCATTGGCCCATGTTCCTGGGTTTCCTCATCTGTAAAATAGGAATAATAATAACATGACCTACTTCACAGGACTGGTGATATGTTAAGTGAGCAAAAGATGTAAGGATAAATGTAACCCTAAGCCTGCCCTTTCTCTAGCCCTGTGGTGGAGTGTGCAGTTCCCATTCTGCCCACTGCTGACTTCTGGGGGTGGGGTGGGGTTCGGAGGGCGGGAGGGCCTTGAAAGGGTTTGATGTTTTCACCAGGGGCTGGCAGATTCCAGCAAGATTTGCCCAGTGTTGTCTGTAGGTCTACAGCACATCTGGCCCATGTTCGTCCTGCTGCTTTTTTAAATGTCAGTAGATACAAATTTGGTGAGTAAATTACATACTCACTTAACATTGTTACTGAAGTCACAGTCTTGTTATGTATTCACTCAATGAATGATAGTAAAAGTCAAAATTTTTGGAGACTGAGAATTGGTTGGGGGCAGGTTCTTCAACCTTCAACCCTTTCTCTCCTGAGGCCCAGGTCCCTCTCCTGCCCTCTGAGATGTGCCAGCCCAAATCAACTCTATGACTCTGTCCTCATGCTTCAGATTACCCTCTCCCCTCTGAGGGAATGGGAATGTGGTGATAGGAGGCCCAGGAGAGTGAATGAGAAAAGCTGCCTTCACATTTTCAGGGCTGAAATCTCATCCTTCCTACTCTGGGACCCTGTTCTCAATCTGTCTCCAAATTCCTGCAGATTCATCACCCTCATTCAGCCCTTTACCACTTACCCATGGGCATGGGTGCAGTGGGCTTGACTGTGGGGACAATTTGGACCTGAATGAAGATGTGGAGAGGCATAAAAGTGCTTGGAAGTGTTGTGCACTGTTGGTAGGAATTTAAAATGGGGAAAATGATATAGAAAACAGTATTGTGATTCCTCAAAAAATTAGAACTAGAATTATCATATGATCCAGCAGTTCCACTTCTGAGTATATATCCCCCCCAAAATAAAAGCAGAGTCTCAAAGAGATATTTGTACACCAATGCTCATAGCAGCATAATTCACAATAGCCAATGGAAGCAACACAAATGTCCTTTGACAGATGAAAGGATAAGAAAAATGTGGTATATCAATATAGTGAAATATTATTCAGCCTTAAAAAGGGAGGAAATTATGACATTTGCTGTAATATAATTGAACCTTGTAGACTTTGGGCTGAGTGAAGTAAGCCAGGCAGAGTAAGACAAATACTGTATGATTCCACTTATGTGGTGTATCTAGAGACATCACATTCATAGAGATACAAAGTAGAATGGGGTGGGAGATGGGATGTTGTTATTTAATGGGTGTAAAGTGTCTGTTCTGCAAGATGAAAATGTTCTGGAGGTGGGCTGCACAACTGTGTGAATATATTGCACACTATTGAACTGTACACTTAAAAATGGTTAACATGGTAAATGTTATATGTATTTTACTGTAATAAAAAAGAAAGTATTTGAAAGTGGCTCCAATGGGCCTCTCAAGGAGTTGGTGGGTTTGAGATGTCACGGTCCTTTCCATTTGTCTTTTCTTTGACATATATGCGTTGAGCATTTTCTAGAAGCCAGGCACTTTTTTAGGGCTGACATTCTGTTGGCAGAGACAGACACTAAATAAAATTTGAACCAAAATGCTCATGGCTTCTCTTTGCCTTCCTTAGTGAAAAATTTACCATATTTACACTAAATGGAACCCTAATTATAGCACTATAATAATTTATGCTTTAAAATTTCTAGGGCTCATTTTATGTCCTTTTTCATGTGTGTTAAAATATTTAATTGACATATAATCTACATACAGAAAAATGCACCCTTTTATTAGGTGTTCAATTCTATGGATTTGAAAAATGTTACTTAAAAAAAAGTTTTATTGATATAATTTACAGGTGTGCTGCTATCCGTGGGGTCACAGAGTCAGACACAGCTTAGCAACTGAACTGCAGATTTCGCCTGTTAAAAGTGTACAGTTAATGGGTTTTAGTATATTTACAGAGTTGCAGAATTTAGAATGTTATCATCACTCCCAAAAGAAACTCCATATCCACTAGCATTCACCCCCATCTTCCCCTGTCCCCCAGGCCTAAGCAACTCATCTACTTTCTATTTCTATGATTAGTTTTTTCTGGACATTTCATATAAATGTACTCATACAATATGTGGTCATGACTTGCTTCTTTCACTTAGCATAATATTTTTTGAGAACCATCAAATGTGGTAGCATGGATTAGTACTTCATTTTTTTAATTGACAAATAATATTTCCACTGTATGGATATACCATGTTTTATTTATCCATTCACATAGATGGACATTTAGTTTGTTTCTACTTTGATATTATGAGTAATGCTGCTATGAAGATTCATACATATGCTTTTGTGTGGACATACATTTTCATTTCTTGGGTATATCTTAGAAGTGGAATTGCTGTGTCATATGGTAACTATATGTTTAACATTATGAGGCACTACCAAACTCTTTTCCAAAATGACTGTACCATTTTACAAACCCTCCAGCAATGTATGAGGGTTCCAGTTTTCCCACATCCTTGCCAATACTTGGTATTGCCTGCATCTTTGATTATAGCCATTCTGGTGGTATGAAACAGTATCCTATTGAAGAGCTAATTTACACTTCCCGCCGTCTATGAGGTCACACAGAGTTGGACACGACTGACGTGACTTAGCAGCAGCAGCAGCAGCAATGATCAATAGTTGAAACACTTTTTTTTTTTCATAAATGCTTATAGGGCATTCATATATCTTCTTCGAAGAAAGGGATATTCAGATCTTTTAATTAGGTTGCATGAGTTCTTTATATATTCTAGATGAAAATTACTTATCATGTATAGGATTTGCAAAATATTTTCTCCCAGTTTGTGGGTTGTCTTTCTACTTTTTTGATTGTGTCCTTTGAAGCACAAATATTTAAAACTTTTATAAAGTCTAATTTGTTGATCCTCTCTTTTAAAATTTGTATTTTTGGTGTCATATCTAAGAAGTCATTGCCTAATCCAAGATCACGTAGATTTACTTCTATATATTCTTCCAAGAATTTTATAGTTTAGTTCTTCCATTTAGGTCTGTGATCTACTTTGAGTTAATTTTTGTGTATACATAATTCTTTTTAAAAAATTCAGATATTATGGTACAATTTACATTCAATAAAATTCACCATTTTAAGCATACAGTTTAATTAGTTTTATCTTATACTTTTTTTTTATAGATATACTTTTAATCCTTCTTGATTGTTAGTTTTTTTCCTGGGAAGTTAGGGATAGGGGAAATTGAATATATACCCAATTTCTCTCTCTCATTTGTCTTTGCCTCACAGTTTTGTTTGTAAATGTATGTGTGTGATTATGTGGGAGTCTGTGTGTGTGAGAGAGAGAATTTTGACTTTAACATCAGCTTTTTAAGGGTTCCCACTTACTTTGGCTTTGTCTTGCAGGTCCACGACCCCATTTAATTATATGTAAGTTGAATGAATGAATGCAGTAATCAAGTGACCATCTATCTACCAGTGTCTGCCCTCTGGAGCTATCAGTACCGCTTGGCCACAGATATTTTCATGCAGCTGCCCATTGTTGGGACTGAGATAGAGACTGCCCAGCTGGGCCCCTGCATGGATGTGTCTGGGTTTAATGGGCTATTTTCTAATTTGTGATTCCTTCATAAAGACCCCCCTTTCAGGATAATTATAGAGTCCTGTAATAATCTATTAATTGGGCCTGGTTTCTATGCCTCATGTTTCCTCAGCTTGCTGCCCCAGCAGCAAAAGCAGGATGAGGCTGACCAGGACAACTGAGCTGGGGAACCGGGAGGGTTCTGTGAATTGAGCCAAAGGCCCAGGAGGTAGGAGACACTTTTCCCTTCTTACCCCTGCTGACTGAGCCTCTCTGAGCCTTCGAATTTCCTTCTGAAACATGAGGCAGAATTAAAGGAACCTTATGTAAAGGGTGCTTAATATTCACTGGGCTTAGAAAAATACAGCTTAGAAGTGATACTATCTGAGCACATTAGCCCAATATGATGTTTTTTACAAGAACTTAGTAAGGTTATATATTGACATGACTGTTTTTAAGATGACTTTTGAGCATTAGAGGAAAGTCAGATCAGAGGGGAAGCGAGTCAAAGGTGGTTTCTATCACAGGGTGTCTGCTCTGCCACAGCTCAGGCCCCTGATCTCTTGCCCAGCCACTGACTTCCTCTGCCAGTGGTGGACTCCAGTTATACCTTTTCCAGATGGAAACTGCAGTCTTTCATTAATTCAGGAAGGTCTGAGTGTCAGTCTAACTACTGAAAATTCATAAACCCTGAAAATTGAGGTCCAGAGGGAGGTGGGAAATGACTTGCCCAGCATCTCAGCTCAGGGTTCCCATGCCTGGACTAGTACCTACCCTTTCAGGCCACACTCATGGCCTTCCTGTCTCCAGGTATATCAAGGAAGTCAATACAAATTGTATAGGCCAAACAGAATGATTTCAGAAAGCCTTTTTCAAAGTTGGATTTTATGTGGAAGTTTCATAAGCTTTATTAGCTTTCAATCTTGGGAACAAAGAAACCTGCTTCTTCTTCTCTTCAACAGCCCAATACCTAGGACAAAGCTCCCTTAGGCCTCTTAGGAGGTCTAAGAGCCCCAACCTGGGGGGTCTTTCTGTCCGATTTGGGGGGACTTTCAAGCACCATGAGGATGAAGAAAGGCAGTCTGGCCACAGGAAAGAGCATCTTAGCTGAAACTTCTTGGGAATGCAAGCTTTCCTCTGGTCTTCCATCTAAGAGAAAGAATGAATTGAGGGTTCTTGCTGCTTCCTGGTCTAGGAGAGGGTTAATGCTTATCACTCTATCCCTCTCTTGCCTCCAAACACCAATAAAACTCTCTAAACCTGATTGTTTTCCTCTTTGGGGGCCAGGGAAGCACAGTCTCGAGCATTGCCTCTGATCTCAGTTCCTGGGAGAGTGCCCCCAGACACCACCCAAGTGCTAAGCTGAGCCTACTTTACTTTCAGCTCCACCCTGAGGGGCTGAGTGGGCAAGGACAGCCAGGGTCAGAAGAAGATGGTCATTTAGGGGTTAGGCCTCTGTTAGTAAACGTTTCTGCTCCAGCCTGGACCTCCCCCCAGCTCCAGATGCATATATCCAATCACCTACTCCACTTGGATGTCAAATAGACATCTATAAAACTGTTTACTAATCTGTAAAACTTTACTAACCCTCACCCCACCCACCCCTCCCAGGGTGGCTATCAGGAAGATGTGCCAAGAAGTAAGGGCTCTCTTAAAACTGCTCTGGGCACCTTCTTACTTTTTACCACCATTTTCAAATCTAGTTTTAACCACTTCATTCATCTTGGGGAACAAGTCATTTCATTCCACTAGAGACTTCTAGACCATCCCAAAGTTCAAGACCGTGTCGGGATCCTGAATGAAAATGCAGATTCCTGAGGCCCTGCCCCAGACACATGCAATCAGAATCTCCACCAGGGCAGGGGGCGGTCTGTGTTTAACTCAGGCCCCAACAGATTTGACTCTACAATCCAGTGGAGGAACTACTGTTTCACAGTTGGGCAAACAAGGCCTGTCTCAGACAAGGAAGAGAAACAAGGGAGATAACAACCCTCCAGAGGCTGGTGTAGGAGGATTGAGAGTCGCTGGGAGGGAGGAGTGGGAAGGCCCCTGGCCTTCATCTGGCCCAACCACAATTTCACTGATAAGGAAATTGGGGCCCAGAGTGTAATGAGTCCAGGTCACCAGGAACATTCATGAAATGTCCTGCAGTCCCCTGGCTCCCGAAGCCCTCACCACACCTCCTGCGTGTGTTGTGTGTGTTGATTCTGCCTGGCAGGTCTTGCCCCTCTCTGAGCCCTAAGTTCCTTGTCTAGTCAGAGGCTTGAACAAAGTAAATAAGTCTTTTTCAAATTCCATTCCTTAGTGCTCCTGCTCCCTAGCCTTTTCTTGTCTAGAGAGAAAATGTGTAATTTTCATGACTGTAGAACAAATAGAACTGTGCCTTTTTTCACACACAAAAAATGTCTCTTGCAGTCCTTTAAGTGCCTGGAAGAACCTTGGGCTCAGTAGTCCTTTGTCCCAGGCCCTTCTAACCCAAGGCAATCAGGTGAGTTCTTTCTACTGAGACTCTATGAGAGGTCTGACTCCCTCCTCAGCTTCCAGGGCTTTTCCTTGGTAGCCTCAGCCAGCAAAGCCAAGGGAGTCAGGGTTCTTGACACAGAGGGCGCTCAGCCTACACACCTCCATTACCATGCGGGCAGGGGGTCTCAGAAAGGGACAGAGAAACACAGAGCTGCACCAGAATCTGATGAAACCCACCTTCTACAGCACCCATCCCCCTCCCTTTGATTTCATGGCACTAATGAGAGACAACTGTTTTAACAAACTTTTTTTTATTAGAAAAGTAAAAAACATTGCATAGGTCTTAATACTTGAACATCAAGTGTATTCATGAACAGCGAGTATCTTCATGTAAACAGTTCTAGATGGAAGATCCAGATGGTACTCCTCTGGGGGAGGGGTTCCAGCCCCCACCCCAATCAGCCCCATCCCCTCACAGCTCAACCCTTTAGTACACATCCAGGGATGGGCCACACACAGCTCCCAGGTGTATTTGTTCTTCAAGTGTCAAAGATCCCCAAGTGATCCTAACACCCACCCCTTCCTACTCTTACATTCATGCGTCTGTAAGATAGCTGCCTAGAACAGGTCAGTAGTGAAGCTATGCTCAAAAAACAAAAACAAAGAACCAAACATTTGGGCCCTTCAGACCACGGGATACACAAATCACCTCAATGACCTCCCCCCTCCCACCAGGGCCAGCTATGGTGAAACACACATCCCTTGCAGAGGCCAGGGCAGCCCAGCTGCTCTCCTGGCTCTGTCACACCCCTGTTGTCTTAACTGTCAGTAACAATAAAAATAATCGGGTACATGCTACATACACATCCAGTCAGAAGCCTGGTTGGCCCCTAAGCCTTTGTTTCATGCTACAGTACTGAGGGGCAGCGTGTGCCTCCAACTGGAAACCACCAGCTCACATCTCAGTGAGATTCCTAGGGAAACACTGTGTTCCTCCCACCTTGACTTTCCTGCCCCTCAGGCGGCTGTTGTCAGTTTTCTAAGGGCGGGCACCAGTCCCTCAGCCTCTGCCTGCCCCCAACCCCAAAAGTTCAAAACTGTCTCTGACATGGGGGTATTACTGGCCCCCCAGGCCCGAGTTCAACACTCCTCGATGAGAAGTTGCTCCGAGCTGTACAGTTTCTTCTTGATTACTCTGAAACCAGTGCTGAGCGTCAGGGACTGGCTGAAGCCAGGGACGAAGGGAGAGTTGGCGGAGCTAAACAACCCCTGGATCTTGGGCCACAGGCGTGAGTCCAGGCGCAGCACGAGGGTCAGCTGGAAAGTGGGCACCAGGCTGGGGTCGAGGGCCAGTTGCCCCACGCTGTGGCAGCTCTTGCCCTGCTCTACGCAGACGTCCAGCAGCGCCCCTCGCAGGCCGCACGGCTCGCTGTAGGCCAGGCGCAGTAGTTCTTTGCCCACCTGGCTCACCAGCTGACCCGGCATCAGCAGGCGCGCAGGGCGCCGCGAGCCCAGTCGGGCCTGGGCCAGGCTCTCCTGCAGCAGCTGCATCAGGCTGGCACACAGGTGCTCATCCTCGGGATCGCTGAGCAGCTCAAAGTCGGGCAGGGACACCCCATCCAGGTATGCAGAGTCTGCAAAGGAAAGCAATACGGGAGGATTAGGTAAGAGCAGCTCCAAACGGGGGAAGTGCTGTTTCGCTAAGAAACCAGCACTTCTTCCCACTCCGTGCCTCAGTTTCTGCCCCACGAGGGTACCCTAAACCTCAATTCCTCTCCTCTGCCTGCCCCTTCTGCAATCCGGATTCTGATGGGATAGGAAATCTAGGTGGGCTTTTGACTCCTAGCGCCGTGTTTCTTCATCTCCTCAGCCCTTCTACTCCCGTCCGGCTCCCGCCTACAGCTTACCTTCCTCCGGCCCAAAGCCACTGTTGCTGCTGTCCAGGGATTCGCAGTCCGAGCTCTCCAGGCTCGCGCAGCGGCCGAGTCCCTCTTCTCGGGCCGCCGACCCCCACGCTGAGCGCGGCGGCTGATTTGGGGTGGGAGTTCGGGACAAGGACGAGGACGAAGAGGACGACGAGAAGCGATCCCAAAGGCTAGGCATGGTGAGGATGGACGCCAGGGCGTCTGCAGATAAGCTCAGGGTGCGGGAGCTCAACAGACGCTGTAAGAGAAAAGCGGTTCATATTGAGCGTCAGTCTGGGGGCTGGATCAGACAGAGCGCTAAGACCCCCCCTCCACACGGGCCGAGGCCTCTCGGCTCAGCGATCAGCAAAAAAGAAGGGACACTCACCAGTTACTGCGGTCAGCGAGAACTGCTGGGACAAGTGCGTACTGCCGCTTGAATGAGTGCGCGAACTGGTGCCAAGCCCCGAGCTCTGCCCAGACCTGTCCTTCTCCCCACCCGCACCTCCCCCTAGGCCTGCCGCGGTCCCTAGCACCAGCGCCGAGAGACCTATAAGGGCTAGTGCAGAGAGGCCACACCCCTTCCGTGCGGCGGCCCAATCCAGACCCGGGAGTGTGGCCCACCTCGGCCAATGAGCTTCAGGCGCACGTTCGCAACGTTCTCTCCTGCCCAGTGACAGCCGCCTGGCCCCGCCCCCGTTGAGCCCCAGAACGCTCGGGGACGAACCCCCTAGCCTCGGCCACGCCCCCTTTCTGGAAGGGATCTGTGGCGGCTGCAGCTGCCAAGGTCCCCGAGGGCGCTCGCGGCAGGGGAGGATCAAGGAAAGACTTGTTTATTATACGGTCGTATTTCTGACGGAGGGGGTAGGCCGCAGCCGCGCGGGGGAGGAGGCAGGGGAACTTGAGGGGGCAACAGGAGGGGGAAACCGTTGCACCCAGCGTCTGAGAGCCTGCAAGCTATGGGCACAATTGGGTGCACGGCTGGATACTCGTGGGACGGCGGCGCGGGGAGCAGACGTTAATCCAGCCGGCTCTCGCACACGTACCCCACGCTAACCTTGCCTTACGAAAGGACTGGGGGTGGGGTCCAAAGACTGGGCTGCTCCGGGCACCGTTCTCCCTCTTCCCGGCCGCCTCACCTTCCCGCCCGCCCATTACTCTACTGCCCCAGGGGATGGATTAAAGCGGGGGCCAGGGTCCGTGCCCGGAATGTGAGCCTGGTCCCCAAACAGTGTCCGCTCCCTCCAGCTACCTACAAGAAGAGGGTTTGGGAAACGTGGTTAAAGCAGTATTGATGGGCCCGGATTCCTAGCGCTTGGTTTTCGAGCTGGGAACTGACTCTCATATCATAGAGACACACAGACCCAGCCGCCTGCCCTATGGACCGACCGCGGTGCGGCTGTCTCTCCAGTCTTCTGCGGCGAGAGAACCCAAAGCGTCTGCTGGGTCCTAGTGCCCCTCTCTGCTAAAACGCTTTGTGTAAAAGACCTGGCGAGTTGCATCAGGACCGAGGACCTAGATCTCCAGAAAAGCCCCGGAGAGCAATCGCCATCCCCTGTTTCGTCATTCAGGCGGTGCCACAGAAAATGTGACCCGACGGCGGTAATATAGAAGACTAACTGAGATTGCTGACGGTGGGAAGAGGTTCGCACAGATTCAACCTTTACTTAAGAGATTTATCAATCTGAGACACAGAATCCTGATGGAAGAGAAAACCAAACTTACATCAGATGCTCCCGTGCCAGGGCGGGCCAGAGCCTAACCAGATCAGACTGGCGGGCCTCGCTTCCGGGCAGACTTGTGCGTGACCAAAGACACTTGCTACTGGAGGAGTCAGGCCGCCGCCATCCACACACCCGG